ACTGCATATTCATATCCTTCCTTGGCTTTCCCTGGGGGCGCCTAAAGCTGACATCTGTATGTAGTGTTAGCCGGTCGGATTGGTCGCCTGGTCTGTCTGACAGCGTTTAAGTGACTTCTTCCTGCTGTCCGGGGTTGTGACCCCTGTTGATAGCAGATGTTTTTATCATCTCTCCAGAACGGGGACGTGGAATGTGAGTTGATGAGTATTGGTCGAGCCGACGAACTAAGAAGGACTCAGGTTAGACTTAGCTCGACGGCTTGACCGACAAGTTAGCAGCTTCTTGGATCGCCTCTAGGGCTTGGGGCGTTTAACTGTGTTAAGGCAGCCTGGAACTTGCCAGATCTGAGAGCCCCTTCCTCCTAGCACACTGTCTTATTTGACCGAAAGTTGTAACCAAGGCAGGAGTTCGTCTCTGGTGTTCTCTTCTGTCTTGTCTGAACGTGGAAATACTTGATGCGATGTGTATGATGATCTATGCTTTCGATAAATCGCTTAATCCTTATTTCGTGTCTACTTTTGCAATCGTAGTAATATGTGCAACATTTATCTTTTTTGTGATTGCTTGTTTTTACTGTTTTTCTACATAAAAAAGGGTAAGTGTAGTTACATATTATGTTAAACTTAGATTAAATTTTTAATTCGGAAAAGAAACGATTTGAGCATAATTACTCGAAAACTGCTTATCTCTCATATTTGAACCATTGTCGTAATCTTGGCCGCGTAAATTACTAATATCTAAACCATTTTCCTCTAAAGTCTTTAATAAGAATGTTTTTCGTATCTGTTGTAATAGAAAATACTACTAAAAACCTTTCTTCAATATTCATGTCCGTATTTTCTAAATTAAGATACCTCATACAAATTGAGATCTGCTCTTGATGGTTGCATCAGGGGTATAATCAAATAAAATTGAAAAATGCTTTACCTGTTTAACCTTATTTAATATAATTTGCTCTATATTATCCCCTAATAAGCTAACTGTTTTATTTTGAATTTTATCTTCGAGGTAATGAAGCATATTTTTTCAGTTTGAATTTTGTTAATATATATATAGACATGATAGGGTCAAATTTTGTGATCATTTCTATACAGTAAAAAATTATTTCTTTCGAATAATTTGTTACTGAAACCACGGAAAGCTAAGTTTTGTTTGACTGAAAACTGAATGGCATAGATAATTCTTTCAATAACATTGCGTCAATGCTTAGTCTCTTTTTTCAATAGAATGCGAAATTCCGAATTAACAGGTTTATTCTTTCCTAATCGTTCTAAGAAATCAGGTTAACTCCTTCGTTGTTTGTCAAGATTCGACAAAAGTACATCTAAAGAAATTTACGACCATTTTTGTCTTTTGCGAAACTGAAACTCGAAACCAGGTTTTGGTAATATCCAGAACCATTTTCTATTAATTCTTGAACTTGGGATGGCAATGATGGACTTCGGCATAATACGGAATCATCAGGCACACTTTCTAATTCTTTCTGATTATTAGGTTCTTTTGGCAATTTAAGTGGTAGCTGACACGTTGATGGACAACTAGTACTAGTATAAAGAGACCACACGTCCGGATTTTGGCGGGACAGTCCCGCTTTTTGGAGGACTGTCCCGCGTCCTGCAGATTTTTAAAAATGTCCCGTTTTTTAGAAAACACCTGCATTTCTTATTTTAAATGTAGCGCAAAAATATATTACCTCTTATTTATTAATTATTACAGTAAATATAAAGAAATAAAAATACATAAATAAAAAATAAAATAAAATAAAATGCATACAGAGTAAACTAAATTAGGAGATGTAACGAGTTAGATTTACTCGGATGGTGTTCGATCATTAAAGTTACGTTTCGTTAAGGAATATGTATTGTTAACGGAGAAACAGCTAGCATTACCTGAAGGGCTAATTGCTTTTCACACTATAAACTACAATCAAAGTTTCAGGTCAATTGATTGTATGTCGCAAATGATCAAAACATTATACGGCAAAAAATTTGCATGTTGTAACGTCGTCAGCTCTTTTCCCACGGATTTCCCACGAAGTCTGGGAAAAGGAGACTTCAAATAGGCGCCAGATGACCACCCTGATGACACTTACGAATTCTTGAGGTCGAACATGACCCCCAACAAAGTTCGGAAAGCATATTGTTTTTACGAAAGGAGAAAACTTTCATACAAGTTCTCACGGGTTGTGGAGTGTCCATTGTGTGTATGCGACAGACTGTCGCCAACTGCCTGTTTCTCGAAATAATTTAGATAGACCTCCCAAAAAGACGTTCTGAATTTTCCCACGGAAAATTTCAGTTTCTCAGGCTGTCAAGACAGTATCTGAGAACAAATCAGCGCCTGTTAACCAATGGGGAGCAAGGATCAAGGAAGTTAATTTACGGAGTGCGCTAGGCTAGGCCTTTAACTCCACATCAGAGATAATAATTATCAAAAGAGGGTTCATCTATAAGGGAAATTTGAAGCCTATTATAAAATAAAAGCTTCGATAATGCCTTCCGCATGAGAAAAAAGGAAAACTCTTAGAAAGTCTTTAAATTAAATTTTGTGTTTAAAAAGGGCCAGGAATAAATTTTGAGAGAGGAGTCAACATTCGAAAAGTTTTGAGAAGAATGAAAAGGTGCAATACATTTCTGTCTGTGTAAGCCATCCGTGCGTCATTGGCCGTTTGGAGCGGCGGAATGTGTCTGGATTGTTTGCGTATTCGAGCGGCAGCCCGCCAAATCGAATTGTCTTCAGTCGTTAGGGACTCAATGTAGTGTTTCCACTCCGTCTGTTTGAAGAGAAGAGACGGGTTTCAGTCCTTATCTCGTTCTGTAAATTTGCGAAATTGGGCGCGGATACTGGGATCACGCGACCTTATGCCAAAGTTTTCGCAAAATGTTCCGCTGCTTAATTTTGGATTTAGTCTCAGGTGGGAGTCCTGACACCCGGATAGAAAATTGGTTTTGAAGCCGCAGCTCTCGCTTCTTTGAGAATGGACTCCAAATTTAGTAAACACCTGTCAAAATCCGAATTGCTGGTAATTTTGATAGGGGCGGGGGTAGCAGTACGTTCCAAAATAAATCTAAAATCGTCCCAATTTGTAGAGACTTGCTCCTGTAATTTTGAGTAACGATTTTGGATATCTAGGGTGATCAAAACTGGATAGTCAAGATCAGAGTCAAGGTCTTGAATCACTTTTATTTCGTGTCTAAAATTGACATTATAAAAGGCAGCCAGATCAAGAACTGCAGGGGACCCTCTAACAGGGTAGTAAGTCGGGAGGGTAGGAGCTATGATCTGTATATGGATTTCTCTGGCACCATGAATTTAGACTAATGCCATACCTGTTCCTGTTAGGGCAAAACCATGCGGTATGACGTGAATTTAGGTCACCAGCAATAATTAGGTGATTTGATAATGATAAAAGTTTATCAAAATCACTGACAGGAAAAGTACCTCTTCCACGTGCAGTTGATAGTGGAGGCAGGTACGCCGAGATGACTGTTAGTGGGGGAGAATTTTGGAGGAAAAATTTTGATAATGTCGCTTCCAAAATATTTATCACAGGAGGGGGTATCATGTGATGCTTAATCGAACGCTTCACGTAGATACAGGTGCCACCACTTGCACGCCTGGCTAATGACACCCTGTTAGTCGAGTACATGTCATAATTCCCAATTTTGGGAGTTCTCCCTGGGGTAAGATGAGTCTCTTGGACTAATAACACGTCAAGATCGTGCACTACAATAAAATCTTTGACCTCATCGATCTTATTGATGAGGCCGTTTGCATTTCTTGTGCACATGGTAAGTTCTCTGTTGGTAATTGAAACTTTGTCTTAAACAGTTGAATTTAAGGCCGTGTGTAAAAGGTTACAGCTCTGAAAAACTTAAGACACGGGTCTAAAATAGCCGAGAAATCCTAATTTGAAAGCATAATATAGCTTTCATAAATTAGGAAGGCCCTCGTAAGAGCGTCTGCCTGCCTAAGCTTTGGCAGGGCCCTTTGGAAGGCTTGTAGTAGAATATGCCTATCTACCGCAGGATCGCGGGAGATTTCAATTAGGCATTTTAAAGTAGAGGAGAAAACATCCTCGGAGTCTCCACTTTCTACTTGAGTAACCGGGGGAGCTATTTGAGGCACATTCGCCATAGCCGCCGGATTTGGACAACTGGTTGTACAGCTTTTGCTGGGGTGTTTGTAGTTCCCTGAGGGGGGCTGCAGGAGCAGCTTCCCTAGGAGCATTCTTTTTTGAGTTCTTTTTGTTATTACCTGGGTAACGAGGACAAGATTTAAAGGACGCTGGGTGACTACCTCCACAGTTGCAGCAGCAAGCGGGTTGATCGTCACTTAATGTGCAATCTTTTGCCCAGTGCGGGCCAGCGCATCTCACACAATGGATGTTAAGGGTGCAAGTTTCAGAGGAATGAAAAAATCCTTGGCACCTAAAGCATTGAGTAGGGCCTTTTTACGGCCTCTGTAAGCCTCAAATTTGACCTCAGCGCCCCACATATCGGTGACACCGTACAGTTGGTGTATGAAGGGATGAGGTCGGACTTGTATGTAAACAAGTGGCATAGGGTGTCTAGTGCGCGGTTTAGTCAACCGGGCGCTCCTATGCACTTCGAAACCCCATGATTCCACTTCATTTTTGACGTCCTCGATTTCAGTTCGTTTGGGAAGCCTCTGATAACAATTTTGATAGGCCTATCCTGCTTTAGATCAAAAGTCTTAAATTGGATGCTGGCCTGCCGCATCCATCGTGTAACCTCTCTAAATTCTAGTTCCGTTTGAACAAATAATTTTAAAAGAGGTCCAGTGAGAATGCACTTGATATTAGGTAAAATTTCTCGCAGGAAGTCATCTGCGTTCTCCACTGTTTGCTGCTCTTAAGTGAATAGCCGGAATGGAGGGTTGCTGTGGAGGGGGGGGGGGAGCGTCTTTCCCTTAGAACTGGGTAAAGGGTCGCGCTTTCGGATGGCCTAGAGTCTCCTTTCCCATCGATAGAAAGACTTGTGTCAACGATAGGGGAATGGCCGGTTTATCGATTACGAGTTTCAAAGTCCGTCTCGTGTATGAACCTTTGTGTTTAGAGGCAAAATGAATTTTGCGAAATCTTGGAGCGAATTTAAAGAAATACTTCGCAGACACGAAGTAGAAACTGTAACAAAATATGTTTACTACTATGGAAAGTCATTCGATAAAGAGAGTAAGTAATTTTTGAAGATGTAATGAGTAAATAAAAATCCTCTAGAATGTAAATGCTTTCTTTGGTTGTTTAGTTGATATTTGGCCATTTTGTTCCAAAGAACTTATCAGCACTAATTTGTATTAATTTTATTGCGTAAGATCTAGTTGATGTTGCGAGATTCGGTCCAAGTTGAAAAAAGGGTTTATAGACGTTCATATTCATTAATTTTGTTGCATAACGTGTAATAGCGTTATGTTTGATTTTTATTTGGTTTCATTGTCAGGTATTGCATGTTTTTTTTTTTTTTTTTTTTAAATAGCTGATGCTTCACGAAACATTCCGTACTATATTAAACATTAAACAAGATATACCGTGTTAGATTTGAAAATTTTTATTGTTGTTTCTTGAGAAACTCGACAATTGTCTCGATGACTACTATATATTTTTCATCCTATTTTAGTGTATGAATGCAGTCTGTTGATTTGAAATATAATCATTTAATAGTCTATAAAGAAAATCCATTCTTTAGTTTTATCATTAACAACATGTTTCAAAATAACCTTATAATAAACACTACCAATTCAAAAAAATATTCTGTTTTATTTTCAGGTAATAGTTCACCATAAAATTATAATGCATTGAAATATCAGGAAGTTATAATAATAAAGATATTGAATTTTAGAAAACAGGAAAGTTTTCTGAAATGTATATATATTTCTTTAGTGATGTGATATATATATTTCTTTAGTCAATGAATGCTACTTATCTTGTGTGTAAAATCACATTACTGTCTATTTTGACTCTTAGCACCAATGGACTAGCAGATAAGATAGCTGAATACTGGATGTTTGATCAAGGTACAAATACTGTTGAATGGATTAGCTGCATGGGAATTTTCCTGTTCTCCTTATATATAAGTGAATACAAGACAGTTTCCCATTAGACCTTCTCAAAGGCATCCCTTTTGCGTAAGGCAGCTAGCTCATTCTATACTTTACCTAGCATATATACGAGTAATTTTAATATGAGACAAAATGACATAATTTTTTTACATAATAGTTTAATGCTTTTAATATCTCTCTATGTTTGCAGTAGGTGCTGCTTAATGTGATTACATTTGCCCATTTTTGATAATATAAGATGATGAGAAAAGTATCTTTTAAAATAGGAATTGAATTAACTATAAATATAACTAGCCACTTTCTTAACATTTTAATTAGGAAAAATAAAAGTTTGTTTATCAATTGTTTACAGTCTTCATTGCAAAAGTTCATTTGAGTAGTCCATAATGTTTCTGAAATTTATTGGACCAATTCTATACCTATAATCTTAATACTTGGAGGGCATCCTTGTTTAAAGAGATTTTGCCAATGTAAAATCTGAAATTGGGCAAAAACGCAAGTGTATTTTGGCAAAGATGTTTTCAGGAATTTTTACCTCCCTTTTGAAGAAGAGGGAACTGTGCTGAAGCCCTTCCAAATCAATAGCTATTGAAAATTCGTATGAAATTAAGTTTTTTTTTTTTTTTATTTTATTGTTTTGCGCTTTTTTCTAAATGCTTGATTAAAATCATTTTCGTTCTTCAGTTTAAGAAATTTATTGTATAATATTTTGATTATATTAACCAAATTGAGCAAATAAAATTACAGCAAATGATGCATTTTTTATGTTTCCATATATGAAAGAGCAGAACTTAGAAATTCAATAGCAATATACACGACATCAGCTGCAATACATTAAGCAGTGTCTACAGTATGTAGTATATATAGAGACAGTTAAATGTATAATATGTTTATAGAGATCTGTAATTTCTTTCTTTTAAAAATCAAAGTATAATGTTAAATGTATAATATGTTTATAGAGATCTGTAATTTCTTTCTTTTAAAAATCAAAGCTTATCAGATTGTGATCTAAATCAAAATTTTCTTTCCAGTTGAACTAACTCCAGATTTACGATTAAACTGGTTAGATGATATTCCCTATTTCCACTTTGGGCGAAAAACCTATGTTTGCCATCAAGGAAAAGATCTGAATAAACGTCAAAAGGAAAATTATGCTAAAGAAAAAAATGAAAAGGTAAAATAACATTGTTATATTTAAAAATTTATACAAAAATATCACCTCTTGGATTATATATATATATATATGTGTGTGTGTGTGTGTGTGTTTTTTTTTTTTTTTTTTTTTTTTTTAGTGTCAAACTGATCATGCTTTTGGTAAAGCATATTCCAAGAACCAGACAACTAAAAAAGTTAATTGTCCAGCTGTAATTAATGTTACCCGAATGTACAGGATGCCTCAGTTCAAGGTAGAAGTTTATTTAACTTTTTGTTCTAAGATGGTCTTAGTAATTTTAGAGAATTTTTTTTTAAGGAAAAAATATAATTCTGTCACGTATGAGCAAGATGTATTGAAGGTATTCTATGATAAAGTATACATACTTTTTGACATAAAAACAAAAGGTATTTTTAGAGTCACAATGTAAAAAAGAGAAATGATTTTTTTGTGTCTCTTTATTCAACATATTTTTCTAAATAGTTTTTTTTTTTTTTTTTTTTTTTTTTTTTTTTTTGGCCAAAAGAGGGTTTTTAACAGTAATATTTTCCTAAATAAATAATTCAGTAATTGACATGCAAATAAAATGATGTTTTCAGGCCAGAAATAAAGGCTTTTTATGCTAATTATATTCTAACCAATTTGCTACAAATAGAAATAAGTTGTTCAAAGTGAAGTTTTATTGGTTATGTTTCTTTGAAGAAGTAATTTGATCTATTGTTATAAAAATGGAAGATCCTTTTTACAGCTTTTTTTAAAGGAAAGAAATGACTCTCTCTCTTTTTTTTTTTTTTTTTTTTTTTTTTTTTTTTTGAATAATTTGCTATGAACAGAAAGTTTTTAAAATTGAACCTTTATCAATAATTAGTTTTAGATGACTGTGCTGGAATTTCTAAATTTTACTGTGATAAATATGTTTAAATTACAGGTAGTGCCAACCCGAAAAAGAAAGATTATGATATCTCGGAAAATTAAGGAAAAACTAGCCAATAAAGATAGTATTGCTGGTGAAGAAGTTTTCATGTTTAATTTACCTAATAGCCAAGATCATCAAAATCATCTAATGGGTAACATGGCTGCAGTAATAGAACCTATAGATGCTAGAGTGCGGCATTTCATAGCTTCTAAAGTTAAGAATGGAAAATGCAATGCCACTGTAATTGCAGAGCTATTAGAAGTATACGTTTCAACTGAATTGGGAGAAACTGATAAAACGCGCAGACGATTTTATCCAGAAATGGAGGCAATAAGGAAAATAATAAGCCAAGCAAAATCCGATATTAGAACTAGTAAAATTGACCAGGAAAATACAGAAATGTTAATAAATAGCTGGGATACTTCCAAGTGTTCTGTTTTTTTTAGACCATGTACTGAAAATACATATGATGGTACTGAGCCAAATGACTTTACAGATTCAAAACTAAATCTGCTATTTGTATATCAAAGTGAAGAAATGAAAAATTTATATGTCTTATATGGTTCTAATCTTGTTCTTCTCGACGCGACCTATCGAACCTGTAAGTATGCTCTCCCACTTTATTTTTTAGTTGTCAAAACAAATGTGAACTATCAAATAGTGAGCATAATAATTACACAAAATGAAACAGCCAAAGCATTAGAAGAAGCTCTTATAATTATTAAAAATTGGTCGCCTCTCGTTAGACCAAAATATGGGATGGTTGATTTTGCAATGGAAGAAATTACAAGTTTGGGAAAATGTCTTTACAGGAATTAAGGTTTTTATATGTAGTTTCCATCGAGAGCAGGCATGGTCAAGATGGGCTTCTAAGAAAAAGAATGCAGTGGTTCCCAAAGAAGAGCTTTTGTGTAAATTACGTGCCATAGCAAATGCTCCAACTCAAGATGAAATGGTTGCAGCAATAGAGGTATTAAAATCATGGAACCAATATGAAGCTGTGAAAGATTATTTTGAATTAACATGGTTCAAGGAAATTGAGAGATGGGCTTTGGCTTACAAACCAAATGACTTATTCATAAACTCGAACAATGGTGTTGAACGCTTAAATGAGGAACTAAAATATAGATATCTTCAGGGATATAAAAACTGTATGCTGTCTGAAATAATTAAGATCTTGGTTGAGAAATTTCTGCCAGAAAGATATAGAATTTACGTCAGAAAAAATCTGAGTATGCTTTCGCAGGCCAGATTATACAATGAACATGTACCAAATTATTTAATCAATAAGCCAAAATGGTTAATTGATCACATAAAAACAAAATTAAGAGCTGCTGAAGTTTATGTGGGTAGTATAAAAAAAATTTCACATGGCTTCTTTAAAGTTTCTTCTGAAACTAAGCATGATGCAGTTTATTCTGTCACGTTTGATGAACAGAAACAACTGTGTCAATGCACATGCTTAGATTTCAGAAGAAACCGACTGCTGTGCAAGCATATTGTGTTTGCTGGCATGAAGTTTCCAGCCTGGAGTTTGGAATGTACTGCAGAATGGCTATTTTCAACACCTATTTTCAAAGTTGATGAAGATTTAGTCTCAAGAAGTATTTCAGGCACCAGAAAACGAAAATATTCATCAACTGAAACTCCTTCAGGTGGAACATCAGATAATTTACCCACCATATCTGAAGAAGCAACGTTGAGTAAAAAAAGAAATTTGATCAATGAGTGCGATGCAAATTACAGATCAATTCGGTCACTCCTTTGGAATTTAGATAGCGAAAATTTACACAATGTAGCCAACTCTTTGAAGGAGATTTTCGAGTCTGCTTCAAAAACAGTTATGCGAGATGAAAATACTGGTCTACCGCTTCAAATTGAAAAAAAAAATTAAACTAAAAAAAAGTAAAAGAATTGTCAAGAAGTATGGTCAACTAAACCTCCATCGCCGTAGAAATACCAGAGTTGGAATAAAGGTGGATATACATAAAGAAACCATTTCAGTAGATGGCCAGTAATTAAAATTAGTATAAAACCTAAAGCAGGCTACAAAGAGCCTTTGGCAAAGGTGACACCCCCACCTATGAGTGGATAATAGAGTAATCTCGGGGACCTGCATGCCATGGATACACTAATACTTATTTTCAAATAAAATAATAAATTTCATACTTTTAGGATAATCTTAAATACTGAATATTATCATACTTGAAATACTTTAGTATGTGCATTTATTTTCGGATTCTTCAGAATTTATAGTGAAAAAAACTGCTACAACTATATACTATCAAATACCAGATTTCAGACAATTAAAATTGACGATAATTCAAAGTATAACATATAAGTTTTGTACAATTCAATAAACATAATACATGTTATTATTTAGTAATATTTATTTCCTGAACAACTTTACAAACACTTATTTGAGAGTCATATAACTTATTTCTATTCAATAATGCTGCAGCTGCATTGATTGTCACGATCAAGACATATGAGCAATATAGTATTTAATGCACTCAAAACTGAATCTGGTAAAGACTTACGGCATATTGGTTACCAAATGCATCTAAAGCAAACCAGTATGCAGGGTTAGTTTTACAGGTTCACTTGTTTTCAAATTAGCAACTCTGTAAAAGTTTTACTCTTGGTTGTACTGACACTGCCTGTTCTTTCTCATATCTAATTGTAGTTATTTGGTTGTAATATGCAGTAAAGGTAAGAACACTGGTGTAATATGCTGTAATTTTTATGTTAGATAGCCCAGTTACATGACTACAACATTTTTCCACTACTTTTTTTACACTGTAAACTCGGTTTAGAAAGTTATTTTCCATGATTTTGGGGGGTGTTGTATAATACATCATATGGAATAACTACAGTTAAATGTATTCATTCAAAAGAGGATATATTGTCTTGCTGAATCTTTTCCTGTACTTATTGTTTGATTTAATATTTTCAATGTGGTGGATTGACCATCATGGAATCATAGCATCCAGTAGATCTTTCAATATAACTCCATTCAGATATTCACATTTATATTATTGTAAATTAACGTAGAAGACAGATTGACAGATATTCTCAGTTCATAGTGCCAAAGTGTTTTTTAATAATGCTAAAATACAATTTTAAAAAAAAAAAGATTACTCATGTTATGTAGAATTAATGTTAAAATTCCATACAAGAAACAAGCATCGATTAATTGTGTTATATAGAATTAAAGAATAAACAGTCAGGTAGAAATTTATAAATGCATAAAACACAACAAAAGGCAGGGCTGCATTTATTCATCCAGTTCATTGAAAAAGTTGTGGCTTTCCTAGACCCCTACCTTGTTGTCGAACATGTAGGTTGTTTCGAATGTTGTCATGAGTAACTAACATAAAATATAATTTTTTCCCCAAATTAGTATGTTATAATTTTTGAATAAAAGAAGAGTGAGATAAGTGGTTATTCTAGCCGAAATAAAGTGTGCGTCGAGTTCCAGTAAAGACCCAAAAATGTCATCTGGGAAAGCTGAGAAAGGGGAAACGAGCTAGCTTTAACCTGAGTCTAGAGATGCATATAATACATACATACAATACAGATAAGTGTGAGTAAACTGGTGCACTTAAATTATAACATAAGTCACAAATGTACATTACAGGTAAAGCATGTCAATTTAAATAATATGTGTATTAAGTATGGCCATAGGCCATTTACAATTATTTGGGTCATTCACATTATAATCGTAAACCCTTATAACAGGGTTGTCTTCAAATCTTTAAATTCAGAAAAACTTCTAAAATCGTAATTTTTTCTATAGAAGAATTTCTATCCTCAGAAAAATAAATGTTAAAGAATTGAAATATAAAATTTGTGCATTTTATGCAGAAAGTAAAAAGAAATTCATTATTTCATTATAAATTTAATCATAAACAAAAATCTGCTTAATATTTTTTAACAATAATAAGAGAATTTCAAAGATTATTTCAAGTATTTCATTTTGATGTCCAGTGATATTAAAAATTGTTTTAAATTTTGACTTACAGATGCCCTAGAGGAGTTGCATGGTATCTAAAATTTCTGTGAAACACAGTTTGAAAACCTTCAGACTACTCGAAAACTTCAGATTATGTGAAAAAAGAAATGTAGATGTAAAGAGCAGTGATTAAAAAGTTTTAATGACCAAAATATTTTCATTCCATCAGATTATTTGTGTATTTTGAAGAAGACACAATCAGATAATAAGATCACAAATAGAGGATAAGTTTTTTTTTTTTTTTTTTTTTTCTTTTTTTTGGGGGGGGGGGGGAATTATTGCATATACCATACATTTTAACATATAGAATATTCTTGGATTGTCTACTGAAAAAAGTACATAATATATGTAAATTTTAATATATAAGAAGTAATGCAAATATTTCAATAAATGAATGGATAAAAAATGGCCTTCTTAAACAACCTCATGTTTAAATTACTTAGAGGAATTTATGCGAACATGTTTCTGTTGGCATTAATTAAACATTAACAAATGTAGATGAACACAAATTGCATAATGTATTTTAATTGAATATATGTTTTGGAATGAAAAATGTAAACAGCCTTAATATACTTAATAACTCGGATTTGTAATGCATATATTTTTATTTCCAATGGCAGACAAAAGTATTTATACAGACACACTATCAAATAAACACACACAAACAAATATATCACACACTAAATAAACAGAGAATAAGGAAGCCTATTTACTACTGCTTGAACATACTCTAGGCTTCCAGTAACAGCCACAGAGATCCTGTACAAAGAGAGCCATGCATTTTGCAGATGGTGGAGGTTCGTATCTTGGGCTTTTATCACAAAGGACGAATACAGAATTTTTTAATCAAAAAGTTTTGCTGAATAATGACGAGTTAAAATACAAGTTATTATGATGGAATTAGCCTTTGGGTATCGGAAATGAATATGTAGTTGAAGAACGAAGGTTTGCTTTAAATTACAGATTTCATAATTAAATAATACATTAGAATAATTAATTATGTGTTTTAAAAATATCATTTTAATATAATATTTTTTCTAATACATTTATTTTATTATCCAAAATTATTTTCTAATTAACAGAAAGATACAGCATAACTTTCAGTGATCCATTGTCAAAAAAAGGCTTCTTCTGGACAGCTTAATAATAGTACAAGGAAATAAGCTTATTTTATGCATGCCTTGTGGCATGAGATAATGAATTTCTGAAGTATTTTAAAAACTGTAAAAATATGTACATATACCATAGAAATGATTTTTAACACTAAATAAAATTCAATACGTGCCCATAGTAAGATCAACTTATGAAAGCTTTTTTACCAAACTGGAAATCATTGCATAAGGAGGAAAATTTCCAAAAGCCATTTTTTAATTTTTATAATATGACTAACGATAAGGTATTGCTTTTTGATCAATAACATGGGTTGTTTGAACTAATAAAGAAAAACAGCTGAATGCACATATTAGTAACCTTAAATTGCATCAGTATTACAGCGAGTTAATTCTAAATCACAAAACACTTCTGTAAGACAGTCAGACACAGCTGCTACAAAAAATTTTCTATATGGAAGTGGTTGTCTTAGGTGATATTTGATGTCAATGTTATTAAATTACCACTTTTGTTATCATCATAGTGTGATATGCATCTCTCTGTGTATACATTTTGAATCTGAAATAATGCATTCAGCATAGCATATATACTTTAGGGATAATTGGGTGTAAAGAAAAGTCAATAAATACAAATTTATTCGCATACAAAAATAATTGTATGGTTAAAATGTACACAAAATGATGAAAATACATAG